TGATGAAGCACTGCAGATTATCCAACGACTAGTGCATGTCAAGAAGTCGATCCCCCCGAAGAACTCATGTGCGATTGAATTCCCATGCACACAAAGCCAGCAAAAAGCATGACAGCCTGAATAAGTGCGCTTCATGTCGCTGCAGGCTTTGGACGTTTCGGTGTCTCCGGCGCAGCGGGCCTTGCAGGCTTGGAGCCCATGTGCCAGGTTGTTGCATGCTGGGTTATTGCATTCAACGGTCCACTGCAGCCAGGATGTGCCTGACAACCCCAGAGAGCCGTATTAATAGTGTCTATAATATGATATGCAAAAATCCCTCTCTCAGCCGCCTGAAACACATGTGCGGGAGATGTTTCAGATGCTCTGTTGTTGCGTATTGCATGGTCAATGGTCCGCTTGCATCGCGGCACAAGACAAGGGGCTCTTTGCGCTGGCTGCTTTACTAGCCATGATCATGTTGCTTGATGACGATGCTGACCCGCCTCCTGCGAAGCCAATCCCGGGTCTCAGTCACACGAGTCACCAGGGAAAGCCTCAGATCGCACGGTGGGGCGTGAAGCAACTGCAATCTACGCCGATGTCCGATGACGAGTCAGAGGTTACCCCTGACAAGCAGGACGACATAAGCCATGTCAGGGATTCTTGTTTGCTGAAAGCCAAACTTTTCAACTTTTCACCGTCGTGAACTTATTTATTTGGCCTGTTGTGATAGAAGTGTGAACTCTTCAATCCCTGGGAGTCGGACCAGTAAGGATTGTCGTGACGCGAAGTGTGCTCGTTGCCTCTTTTTGCGCAATAGGGAGACCTGGGAAGAGGCAGCGACATTGTATGTCAACGGCAACCGGGCCGGCGCCTGGCTGGTTCCGTGCCTGCACCGTGGCCGGTGGGGCCTGAGATGTTGGGTGTGTGCAAAGACCAAGCAGGAGTCGGAGTGGTCATCTGGCACGGTTCAAACAAACAGCCTTGGAAACATCAGGCGACATGGAAAAAGCAGTCAGCAGCATCAGAGTGCACTGCAGGCATCTGGCTTCGATGGGGACGAAGCTCACATAGCCCGCAGCGTTGCGCCCGACAAGGAGAGCTTCGGAAAGGTTCTCTCTCATCGCCGTTCAGGCAAGCCTTTGCAAGATTCGGTTCCCGGTGTGGGTGGTCGCTGGAAGACCACGAAGATGCAGTTCTGCCTCGCGGAAGCTGCCAGGGAGAATGACAGGTGCTTCCTGAAAGCAGCTCGCTCCATTGCCCTGAAGCTGGATCCTCGTGCCGGAATGCTCTTGGTCCGCTACACCGGCTGCGACCAACTGCTCAATGCTCGCACAGGCCTACTGGGGCAC